AAAATATTTCATAAGCATATTCTAGCCCCTTTACATTTACCAATATCTGGGATGCATCACATCACCTACAACTAGAATGTGTAAATATACAGATGAATTAATCTCGTGAGTTTCTGTCTTCGTGCGAGTTATTAGTGAGCGCTGACTAGTGTTCATTATAAATACATGTTCTCTCCTCATTTCTGTATCTTCTGAAGAGGATCTCAGGTGGAGGTCGAAATATACAGCTCCTCAAACTTCAGTGTCTGTGTGTCCTAACAGTCGTTATTCTACCTCAAAAATTTTCAGAGCACAGGCTTGATAAATGTATACTTCTACCACTACTACTACTACTACTACTACTACTACTACTACTACTACTACTACTACTACTACTACTATCCTCGCCCAGGATGGAACCCACAACAGTCAACTAACACACAGGTACCTACTTACCGCTAGGTGAACAAGGGCAGCAAGTGTAAGGTACTTTGCACACACGTTTCGCCCTGTTCGGGGATCGACCCCTGGTCCTCTGTATTGTGAACCTAACTGCACATACATTCAACTTAACTCTCTCAGTGACCTCTCTCTCTCTCCTTCTCTCTCTCTCCTTCTCTCTCTCTCCTTCTCTCTCTCTCCTTCTCTCTCTGGCTCCTTGACAATATATCAGAATTTTAAATTCTTAAGTACAACAGTTTGGGGCAGATTTTGTCTGTAAATAAAGCTGAAATATAACTTTTTTGCGTACCAGAGAGAGAGAGAGAGAGAGAGAGAGAGAGAGAGAGAGAGAGAGAGAGAGAGAGAGAGAGAGAGACAGAGACAGACAGACAGACAGACAGACAGAGACAGACAGACAGACAGACAGACAGACAGACAGACAGACAGACAGACAGACAGACAGACAGACAGACAGACAGACAGACAGACAGACAGAGACAGAATTAAACAATTTTATTTTGAATTTCCTTAACAAAAAAGTTCATTGTTAGGTTTCAAGCCTGTCGACTACGTGAGGGTCATTAAGACTACAGTTCTCTTGTGAATTAGTATTTTAAATGATTTAGTCATTATAACGTGGATAAAGACTGGTTATTGGGTTTAAAACCTATCGACCACACGATGGTCGTTGGGGATGCACGTAACCTGTACCGTAACCTATTTAAGAATTTCTTAATCCCTAATTTAGGGATTAAAGTAATCCCTAAGTGCATTTATATACACTCCGAGTGTAAATCCACTGTTGCACTCAGTGTGTTTACGTTTAAGAAGAGGATCCCAGAAGGGGATCGAAATATATACATATCAATTTCACGAGTGACTGTTTGCATGTGGGTTATTACCGTGCACTGACAGTGTCTACTATGGTTTAGTTATTCATTACGAAATACACTCCTCAGAACATACAAAGAATATACTTCAGGTGCTGATGGCATTCGTCAAAAACTGGTACTGGTCTAAGTCATGTGATGACTCGCTAATTGGAGGGTTCGGTCATGAGATTGAAGTTTTCTTTTGGTTTACCAGACTACGCTAGTGAAGGATCTGAAGATAATAATGCGTAATTGATGGTTGCTGTTTTTTTTAATCGGGTACACGAGGGTCATTGAGGCTGCATGTAATCCTTTCATCACCAAGAAGAATGTTTTAATCTCTAAAACAGGGATTCGACTCTCGGCATGTATACACTGAGAGCAATACTCCTCACTGTGTATATCCAGTGGTCGTGTGATGTGTTGCTATTAACGTGTAACATCACACAAGCACCGAAGGTTTCCGAAACGTGTTCAGACATAGCAACCCTTCCCAAACGTAGCAACCCTTCCCAAACGCACGTTTCTCTCATTTATATTTCACGCAGTATTGATTCCTAGATGGATGAGAAACATTACCTACAGGCATCAAAATGGATGTGACAACTGCTTCAAAGATAGCCTCTGTAATTCGCTGCGTGAATTATTTATCAGCTTTGCCCGCACCCTACTGCTTGCTTGCAACATTATTCACCACTAGCATTGCCGCCTTGCAATATTGCTCAGAAACCATTGTGCCTCCCTGCAGTATTATTGACGAAACACGCTGCATCTCTGCAATATTTACAAATCACACTGCATGTTCTCTCTCCCACTGTGCCCGAAGCTGACGATGTTGAGACCTTTCTTTACTCAAGTTCACCCATGTGAGGACTGGCTGGTTGATTGTTTCATTGGTTAGTTGGTTAATTGGTTGGTTGTTTGGTTGGTTTATTAGGTTTAACGTCTATCGGCTACGTGAATATATTCAAGATTGTGTCACCAGGACATTTCCAAAGATATTTCGATTCTTAAATCAGAGATTAAAGAAAACCCTCGGTGAAAATGCAGTGAGAGACATACACCTCATGGAGTGTATGTCCTGGTATGTCATGGAGTGTATGTTAAGTGGTTGCTCAATGGGGTTTAAAGCCTATCCACTACTCGAAGAATCATTAAAGCTACAAAATCACTTGTATACCAGCAGTCAAGAATACTTTAATACATAAAACAGTACCGAGAGATGTGCATCTATCAGTGTATATACAGTGAGAGATACACATCTCTCGGTATATATACAGTGAGTTACACACCTCTCAGTCTATATACCCTGTGTGACATACACTTCCCAAGGTCATGACATGATTCATGTGTACTGAAATATTCTGTCTCGTAGATTATATATTCAACACTATATTTAAATTCACGTGCCGCCGCCCACCTCTTACAATTGGTCAGTGTTGTCGCCACTCAAGATTTAACTTTGTGAATGACTTCATGTGTAAT